TGGGCGGAACGGGCGAGGAAGATGGTCGCTGAAACCTGAGTTCGCCATGGTGAAATAACAAGTTGACAGGAGTTATTGGTTTGGGGCCATGGTTGGTCAAGTTTCTTTCCTGTGGCACGGTTCGGTTGGCTTGAGAAAAATGGAAGGGATACCATGGATTATGGCGTTTGAATCATTCATTGTAGATAGAGTATGCGAAATCATCTGATGATAGAGTAACGTAAATATCACTAAGCATGCGTCACATATGTATGAGACATCTTCTTTGAAACACGGCCTTTCGGACTGCCCGATCAAGTGTGAATAGCAGGTCGACTTGTCTCAGTATAGCAGATGATACTGTCAGCACTACTGACAGTGCTCTGTAGCAGGTCAACTAATGTCACTTCAAGTTCAGGGGAGATTGAACCAAATGGAACCGAGATGATCATGATATCAGTTAAGTCCCACCAGGTAGGATAATCCATGAAATCATGACTATGACCCATAGATGTTGGATGGCTGTTATAATAGTGATGATCCTTAGTGGCTGCGAAACTTCGTATCTCAGTCGAAATTGCTTAGTATTGTTGCCGATGTGCTATTATGCATTATATACTAAAGTATAATATTCCGAATACGGCAAAGACGGCATGACTCCGAAGTCTGGATGGATTCTCATCTCCTGTTCCTGTTAGCGTGCATCAGGATGTCGATCGCTTGTGCGACTGATTTTGGTACAGCAGAGAGTTCCAGAGAGAGTAGGAGAACCAAAATGTAAAAATAGCACGCCTGAGTTGAACATCAGCAGCATAGATGTTGCAGTTACATGTGTCCACAGAGTGTCTACAACAAAGTACAAAGAAGCATTGAGTCAATCCTCCGTACTCTGGACTCTGTAGAGTACTTTCGAGGTGATTGATGTTGGCCATGTCTCAGTTTTGAAGCCATCCCCCGCCTTTATTACTTCCCCCCAGCAACGAGTGTCCACTGCGGCACGATCTCCCTCTGCGCAACTCAAGCAAACATGCTGTATTCCCACTGGCCAAGGATCGTCGCTGCGTCGGGGCAAATGGTCTTAAGTCTCCATACCTTAGCCTCAGCTGAACAACTCCTGTGTGGAGACTCTTTCCTTGAATTTCTTGGTTGTTGCGGCGATGCGATGTGATGCTGTGACTTGAGAAGACTGGACTAGTCTCTGCTAGACAGCATGCTAATAACATGCTAACAACTAGCATCACTGCAATATCTGCAGATGCTTCTAAATTTGATGTTGATCATTGATTGATGACTTGATTGCCAATGCTGGTTTGAAGTAGTCTGTGCTGTTCCACTTGGTGGAGTGATGATGGTGGTTGACTATTGATGGTCTCAACAACATAAATAGAGGAAGGGATATCGCCACATCCATCCTCATCAGTCACCCATTCTCTCACATTATTGTCCACCTTTTGTTGTTTGTGCTGATTTCATTCACTGAAAAACAGTTAAACAAAATAATCTAATCTCTCGTTTAGTGATAATCAGAATGAAGCTGCTTTCTACTCTCACTCTGCTGGCTTCCACAGTCGCGGCCAACCCCATCTTCCATACTGCTCGCCAGGCCTCCAACACCACCAAGCCCTTCCATCTTAAGACCGCAGACGCATCCAACGAGAAACACAATGGTTTATACGTCTACGCATACCATACCGGTGCAGGATTCAATGACGCTGTCCTCACGTCCGATGTGGCCACTGCCAGTACGGCTTTCCTGAACAGCACCTACACCCAGTTCGACCTGAAGACCCCGTTCCCTTGGGGCTTTAATCCCATCGGTGATACCAACTACGCTCGTTAGTTCCCTGCTCTCTCGACTACACCATGTTCGAACCGGAACTGACTTGTTTGCAGAATGGGAACCTGTTGAGATCAACGTGGGTTACGGCGCTGAGGGATTCTTCATCAATAGCTCCGGCCTGCAGTGGTCGGAGCAACAGGGCTTTGGCGGCTGGCTGGGTAAGCATTTCCATCCAAGGTACTCGGTAACCTCTACATGTGGCTAATTTACCCCAGTGTGCGACTGGTACCACGGCGCACCCCAGCTCTTCTATATCTACCGCTATTACGAACCCAACTTCCCCTCCTCCTGCAGCACCGTCAACCTCCAGGTCGAATATACTTCGTAAATAAACCCGAGGGTGCGGATATTGCAGCGCAAAATGCTGCCGCCGGATATGAGATGCGCGTGGCGTGAGTGATGATTCCTCGGTTTTCTCGAGGGGTGTGGAGGATATGTACCGCTCCTTACCTGACGAGATTGTGTATTGATATATGCATCGCACAAACGGAAGGGCTGTTTAATGTTTATTTACCTGTAATACCGCTGTGGTGTCAATCGTTTATGTCAATCGCTTGCTAGGTCTTCTGATTTATGGACAATCGACCTTCTTTAAATCGATAGTTTTGTGTTGGTGATTATGAGTATTGATCCATTTGCCATTGACCCATTGTATTGGTCAAGCTCAGACGTCGGGTCGTTTCTGTAGTAGCCCTGCTGGCGACCATGAAGACAACACATTGATGATATCCTGCGGAAAATATGCAGGCCGTTGCTTCAGCGTACGATTTGAACTAGATGGAGATAGAATCTGATCAAGCAGTAACTCTGACATTCATGTGATGATGTGAAGAAATCCGATGGCCAAAAATAGCCCATGTCTCAGTTATGCCCAAACAGGCTAGCCCGCCTCCAGATCCCCTTCTCTAGTCGCTTCGATCGGACCCCCCGTCTGGCCTCTTTTCTCGTTAGACCCTTTTTTTCCCTTTTCATGACTTGACTTGGCTTTCTTGTTGCTCTGCTTGCGTTTTGAATCTTGAATTTGGTCATCATCATCAGCTCTCTCTACAGTTTTCCATGGCGTGATGCTGTTTAGTTGATTTTCTGACCAGTCACTCGCTTTGTTTACCTGCCGTCCAGCCTCCCCTCTTTGAGACCCGCATACGATATCACCCGATCTGCATGTTTCACTGAACCGCTGGCTTGAAGAATTCGTTCTACCTGTCCATCTTACGTCCAGACTGTTTTACCGACCTTGTGAATCGCTCTCTCTCTGTCATCGACACTCGCTTGTGGAGATAGTAGCCGATCTTTAAGGGATCCCGAGCATCACCCTCTCAGCATTTTCAAGGGACTCGTTCCCTGTATTGCGTGATAGCCTCAGGATCTGAAGGCATCATCCAACATGCAGTCCCTCAACTTCCTCTCGTTTTTAAGCCTTCTCCTCTTGCTGGGAACAATTTCCTCAGCTTGGCCATGGCCCCCGAACGGGCTGAACTTGGCGCACGGAGAGATTGTGGCCAGAGCTGGTCAGTTACTTCGTAAAAATATTGCTCATTTGTTCGCATGCTGACTCGTCAGACACAACTGCTTCCGACCAAACGACAGCTGATTCTACCGCGAGCTCGACCGATTCTGCCTCGGAAACCAGCACCGCGAAGGACTCGACTGCGACAGACTCGAGCAGCGGAACAGACACCGCTACTGGAACGGCCAAGGAGACCGGCACACAGACGGGGACGGGCACAACTACCGAGACCGCCACGGGCAAATCCAGCAAGAACAGCAAGACCAAGACCTCTACCAAGACGACCTCGATCGATGCGCGTCTCCCTGCGGGCGGAACATCGATGTTGATCCCAACCGCGGGTGCCACAACCTACTACAAGATTGGCGACTATGTGACTTTTGCCTGGAACTACACCTCTCTGTCGGTGACGCCGTCTGCGGTGAATGTTCTCGCAAGCTGCACCATGAACAGCGCGACCTATACCCTCTCAAGCAACATGAGCGTCGAGGCGACTGGAAAGGTGGTGTGGGATACGGCCAAGTACCAGGCGAATGCGACGGTCCCACTGCTGACCGCGACATACACGTTGTACGTGGTTGACGTGGACAAGGACATTGGAGACACCGCAAGTGCCGGTCACCTTGGCTCGCAGAATGGCTACACCTTTGGCATGTACATTCCGCAATCCTATACTCCTCTCAACGGTACGCCCTTATTTCCCTACGCATATTTGACAAAGCATACTGATCCGAATATAGAATACAACTGCGCCACGTGCAACAGCGCCCTCTCCGAGACCGAGCGACAAGCCCTCAAGTTCGCCTTTGGCATGGTCATGATCACCATAGCCTCCTTCACCTGGTTCGCCGGTGACTTTGGTGTCTTTTCCACTTGATCTTCCTCATGAACGTATCATATGTTTTCCAACAACATATTGCATTCGAACGAGCGACTTTTTTCAATCATGATAATAGCGATGTATCAGCAAGGTTGGGCCGGCGTTTTCTTTTCTCATCTTCTGGGTGATTCTTTCTCTCCGTGTATTTGCCATTGCCAATAATCTAAAGTGGCGGGAACTGTGGTATATTCAATCATCTGGTGTCTATAATGAGCTGTATTAGCATAGAGAATCTGGACATGCATATTACCTTCCTTCAACCAGGTTTACCAGTCTAGAACATACAAAATGAACGAAAGCAACTCGCATATCGTTGAGCCTCATCCTTTGTTCTGGTCTAATGACAAACCACTGCCCTCTGCATTCTGCCCTCTGCCCTTTGTCTACGCCTTTGCAATTTGATACAACCAGGGCAGGAGTACCTGGATAGTAAAAGAAACAGCCATGCAGCCAGCAAAACCAAGCACACAATGCAACCTTTGTCTACATAAAACTGTATCCCCCATGGAAACTTAATCTCTCAGTACAGAGATATGGGTATAAGTATAGGTGAGGTGAGGTGAGGTGAGGGACAATGTCCATCCCCGTCCCTAAAGGTGTAAGCCCTTCATCGATTCCCTGGTGTGTTGATCGCGGATAGTTCGCCTGCTGGCCTGCTGGTTGTCTTGTCCGTCTGCTCGTTTAGATCGGTGCGCTCATTTCGAAGCTCGCTGCCTCGTTTTAACTTGCTGCGCTCATCTCTTAAGCTTGCTGCGCTCATTTCCTAAGCTCGCTACGCTCGCTGCCTCGCTGCAATGCCTTCCACCACGCTGGGCTGGATCTGGCCGAAAGACCCCCGTCCCGGAAACCCCTCGCGCTGGCCCCGTCGCTGGCGTCTCTTCGATGTGCTGACCAACCGCGGCCCGGATATATACGTCGGGAAGATCAACAGCCGCTCCCAGCCGCAGAGCCAATCGTCGCGGATCAATTGGTCTGGGTGGGACTGCCGGGAGGGGTGCTGCTGCGCAGGGGGTGAGGAGGAGACGCCGTTCCCGTGGGCGAGGCGGGGTGCGTTTGAGCGGTATGATTTCCGGCGGAGGAAGTACGTGGTTCCGGATCATGGGACGTGGTGTGGGGTTGAGTACTGCGATGAGGATTTGGACAAAGGCAAGAAGAGGGGGAGGCGGGTGCATGCCATTCCGCGGCGGTATTGGGATTGGAGGGGGGTGGAGTATCCGGCGGGGTATTGGCATGATGTTGTGCATGGGGTTCATGGTTCTTGATTTAGGGGTTCTCGAGTGAGCTGGAGGTGAGGTAGAAGAACGGGGAAGGGTCAAATGCAGGCTGCGTGGTAGGCTTCCCAGACGACTGGCTGTCCTTGAGAGGATTGGATAGGGTTGGGTTTGCGGAGGGTGGGGAGTTGTGCGGCGTTGTCGGTCATTTTGCCGCATTTCGCGCAGGGTGTCTGTTTGATGTCGGAGTAGGAGGAGATCATGTCCTGAATAAGGGGATTGATTAGTGTCTGTTGTGTTTGCGGTCAATGTGTAAAACTCACCAGTAGATACGCGAGATCCCATTGCCGCGGACGAGCATTCAGGCAAGCTGCAACCGCCGTCTCAAGCTTCGTCTTCGGTTTCCCAGGAGCTGCTTGGTCCTGAACCCGCCAATCGATCACAGCCTGTCCATCTCCATTGACCGCCTGCAGCTGGAACGCCATGCCGACCTTGACGAGAACAACGGTGATCCTGGGCTGGTCCTGATGGGGCATGACCCGAACACCCGGCGGGCTTCGTCGTATGAATGTCTCCACGATCGTCCTCCAGCCCCCGTCGACCGCTTGAATCTTCGCGCGTTCCTCCTCCTCCTTGACCCTCTGCTGCTGCTCCTTCTCCGTCCGTTGCTCCTTCTCAAGCTCCTCAAGAAGAACATCATAGTCCCGCTCCCACATCCCCGTCGGCTGCAGCAGTTGGCCCCCGTTCTGCTTGATCCGAGCGTCCACATGGTCCCATATCGCTTTCATCTCAGGGCTCCGCCACATAGACTGGAACTCCTGGACCTCAGCGACCCCCGCACGTGCCGTCTGCGAGAGCTGTTCAGAGAGCACGCGCGGCGACTTCGGCAGTGGCCTCCTCGAAGCCGCCTTGGGGTTGACAATGGGGACTATAGGCTCCATGAGACGCCCAGGGAGTAGAGTTCGGAGTTGATGGATCTGCACTTGTCAGTTTGAACATGCATCAACGCAAGGACGATCCAAAACACAAAAGTTACAAGGGGCGAGAGAAGACTAACCGTCGCCTCCATCTTCTGCAACTTCGCCAGCGACGATACATACTGCATCTCCGAGGTCCAGGCTTCAGCGCTCGAATTGCCCTTGTCAGGAACTTCGGCCGGGGATGTACCTTGAGGAGATTGCTCCATTTTAGGGACAATGACACCCGTAGCCGGCGGCTGTGAACTAGTTTTTGAAGTAGAAGCCATGTTGATGAACCGTTCAGTGAGACGGGACGAATGTAGTCAGCCGGACCTTGCAGAAGCTCCCCGCAAAAAAAAAGATAGCTGCAGAAGCGATGGGAGGAGGAATCGCTTGTTTTCATCCAAGTAACGCCGAAATGAGATGGCCAGTCACTTGATTTGAATTGCCAGGACCGCAGTCATCAAAGGAATGATGAGATTCAGGAGTAATAAAGATGGGTCAACCGATAATGCCGGCGCCTCAGTGAGCTTTCGCCAGATCTAAAAACTGAATGTGCTCTACAATAATGATGCCAATGGTGAAGGGATTCGGAGATGTCAAGGTGGAAATCCAGCCCAGTTCTCTCTCTCGGCGAATCATGGGGATCACCTGCGCCACAGCACCAGCCACATGTGGAGCACTGGCCACTTTCCTCTTTTGGATGTATACAGGGCCTGGTATTCTCTTGATAGAAATCTCCATTATGAACGTCAATTTTTCAGGTTTGTAGTGGACTGTAAGGTGATATTCATTAGAAAATGGCTACATTCAGATTTGTGTATCAAGCTCATCCAAGTCGTCGTAACAGCCGTGCTCATTATGTCACATTCACACTGGTCAAAGTGCCTTCGACGAGTACAGTCTAATATTTACACCCCTATCATGCGCCAGAGTGAGATTCGTCTGCTGAACTGGCTCAACCAGGTCCGGGGCCGCGTTCTCAATCCGATCAAACCGCTGGAGTAATTTGACAATAGTAAAGCTGGCCTCGGTGAGTGCGTATTGTTCTGCAGACGTTAGCCACAAAGTATAGCACTTGAAAGAAAGGAGGACTCACGGCCTAGGCAAATTCTTGGGCCCCCGTTGAAGGGGAGATACTCCCATCCTCGTCTGCCGTTTTCTTCCCAGCGTTCCGGCCGGAACTCGCGCGCGTCCGGGCCGTAGAAGTCTGTCCGGCGGTGCATGGCGTACACACTGTAGGTGACTACTGTGCCTTTGCAGATGTAGATAGGGGACTTTTGATCCGGCCCCCCCCCGAGGGGTAAGGTCGTGTCCTTGTTGGCGACGCGGAAGTTGGCGGGGACAGGTGGCAGGAGCCGGAGGACTGGGTGTCGGTCAGAATCTTTCCACTGTGGGTTGACTCGGGAGTGACGTACCTTCGTTCAGCACATATCGCAGGTACGGAATATCCTTGAGTTTGGTCTGCGTGATCTCCTCCTTGGGGTGCTCGGCGTCGCCGAACTCCTCCACAATGACCTGACGAAGTTTGGTCCACACGTTCGGATGGCGAGCCAGATAGAAGAAGGTCGAGCTGAGCAGGCTGGCGGTTGTATCACGCCCCGCTAACAGGATGTTGAGCATGTTGTCCCTCAACACCTTCGGATCATCGTTTTCGGCCGCCAGCGCCTCGGCAAAGATATACCGGCCTCCAGGCTGCTTCTTCTCCGGATGCCGCCGCGACTCGAGAGCGAGCTGAACATAGTGGTCGACCACCTCATGGACGCGCTTGTTAGCATCGCGGAATTCCTTGGGGTTAATCATCCAGTAGAAGTCGACCGCTCGAGACCTCGCGGCGAGATAGTCCTGCGCCGTGTTGAACGCCTCTGCGAAGCCCTGCGCGTTACCGACGGCCGATTTACCCAGAAGGCCTGTGTCTGTGCCAGCGTGCAGAGAGCCCACTGATTCCCCAAAGAGGAAATGAGTCGCCGAGTCGATTGTCAGGAGGAAGAACAGCCGCTGAATATCGGATGTCGAGCCATCTTTCGGGACTAATTCAATCAGCCTGGAGATGTGGCCGTCCATCAAGTCCAGATCGGCAACCTGAGGAGTTAGCACAGTCCCAGAAGATGCGAACGATCACTCACCTGGTCCCTCGTAAACTGGGGCCGTAGTAGCGCACGCGCATGCGACCAGCCTGCTCCATCCAGCGTAAAAATCCCGTCCCCAAGCAACGGGTAAAACTCCTGGTGTCTCGTCCCGAGCCCGAAATCATTGAATTGGGTCGCCAGCATAGCCTTGAGATTCTCTGGCTCAATCGTAGATACCAGCCGTCGCCCCAGAATAGTCTGGGTAAACGTGTTACCGTACTTTTCATACTGCTCGGCGATATACTCGATCCATCTCTTCTCCTTGGCGGCTTTGCTCAGTCGTAGAAAGGCAGGGATGCCAAAGACGCCCGCTGCGCCTTGGCTGGGGGCCTGACAGCGCAGGGATCTGGCCTGTTTGCGATGCTTGTAGAGTTGCTGGAAGTAACGCAGGACCAAGAACGTGGTGTATACAGCGGTGAACAGTGCGACAGTAGGGGCCAGCATGGTGTCGTGCCCTGGTGGGTGAGGTTGTGACTTGTGTGACAATGTTTAATTATCTGCTTGGAAATCCCTGGGCGAAACGGTCAATCTGGTGTCACACAAGGCTATCCATGACCGCAGTACTGAGATGGGATCTACCTATTTATACCACATGCTAATGTCAACTTCGAATCTACCCCTCAGTATGTGATCTTGACAACCTCGCTAATCCGAAGATTTGTTGATGCTTCGGTGAAAGAGTCCGACTCGGACATGTGCGAGTGGATCACCAACCAAACTTAAACTATCCTCCATGGAACTGCGACGAACGCGAGAAGCCGGAAAACTCGACGTGTGAATGGTCCAGACGGAAAGAAATGAACGATTAATCGCAAGCACATACGAATATGGTTAGACAGAGGGAGATCCAACATGTCCGACTCAAGTTATGCACACTCTAATCTCGGATAAGTCGCAAGCATATATAAAAAAGGCTAGCTACAAGTCTACAACGCAAGGATCAGCCGACGCTAACCCACCATCGTGAAGAGGGCGATCACCCCGGACGGAGTACTCCACAAAGTGACATCAGTAGTCACCATAGACAGTGAATCAATGATGGTCTTGCCTGAAACATGGCAGCCATTGTTTCAAGGCCTGAGTAAAGTACCCCCGAGAGACCGCCGCGTCCGGGGTGAGCTGAAAGTCTGGGCAATGCACCGCGTTCTCCATAATGTATCCAAATATTGCGTCTCTGCCTGTGGAGACCCCGCAGGCCGGTATTTCAGTTGTAAAGTTGACTCCCTGTGGAGCCCATTTCTCATCAGATACCACCGACAATGGTCTCCAGGGATCAAACTGCCCCCCGCTGAAGTACACGTTGGACGGTCGGATAGTCCAGCCGCCGAACTCTTCATTCAAGCTTTCCGTCCGTGGTTGTGGCGGTAGGATACTAGCCTGGACGGCATTTGGCCACTGGCGATTACAGAGTTCCTGCTGATACTCCAGGGTTTGATACGAGGAAAGAAGTGCATGAGACCCAAGGTTGTTGCTCTGGAAAAATCCCCACTCGGTGCAGTATTGCCAACTCCAGCTGATCAATTCTGGGATTGTGTTGGGTCGACCAAACTCGCACGACAAAGGCTCTGATGCATTGAGACCGTTGCAGTTAGTCCCAAACACCCTGTTGACCAGCGCGATAAAGTATGGAAAGGACGCCCAGCGCTCCGCAACATATCTCCTGCCGTGGGTCGGAGCGAGACCTTCCGGCCCTGCCGAATGGTTTGTCTCTGGATCTAGCTCGAGGTAGTTGCAAAAGTTGTGCAAGCTTTGATTATCGCTCCCAATCCCGTGAGCCTGAAAGGGTCCGTAAAGAGCACCCAAAGCCGAGGTGAAGTCCACGTTGCTGTTTTTCTCCGCATCGGGTCCAAGAAAAAGCCGTTTGATCGACGCGGACGTGTCTTCGTTGGACAACTGGTCATCGATGTACTTGAGAGCAGCCTGGATGTCCTTGGTGCAGTTACTGTACCCGTTGGCCACCATAGCGCGGTAGATCTGTTCATAGTACACGCTCATGTCGAGTTGAGCCTGTACAGGAGCGGATGAAGCATACGCTGCAAAAATGGTATCGGGATATTTGTTGCGAATGAACGCGGCTCGGATACCAGGATAGGAACCGCCGACCATGACCCAAGGAGTTCCTCTGGGGGTCAAATCGACATGGGGATGACTCGCCCGGCTGAAATTTGCGGCGAAATATGGGATATCGGCAAGGGCTTGCTTTGTGGTGAGATATTTCATGTGCTCCACGGGCATATCCTGGCTGACGGGGAATGGAAGGGAGTCTCCATAATACCTTTGCTAATATCAGTACATCTTAGATACTTAAGGCTTCTGGATGGACTACCTGTGCTCCCACACAATTCCCATAGCGTGAAACTCTTGCAGCAGCGGACTAAGCCACGATGAGGAATTTGTCAACAAAGAAACCGAATATTCCGCAGTGTTCTCTCCAATGTCATAGACCATGACCGGACTCCCAGGAACATAGAACTCTTCATTGACCCAAAATCTGTTCCGATAGGTGCCAAGCGAGGGATCCTCGTGGTCAATGAGAATCTGTACGAGTCAGGAACAAGGCCGATTAGTTGTACCAGTGTGTGACTCACCTCTGCATATTCTACCGCAATTGTGGGATCTGCCGAAGTGGCGATCAGAGAACGGAAAGCTCCAGGGTCATTCCATGCGAGATGGGAATCTAAGCCCAACTCAGCCGCGAGTCGCAGGTCTCTTACTAGCGTAGACGCTGGTAGTCCTATGCCTGCGACAGGGTCGAAGAGTACTGCAAGCCTCAATGCAGCGAGCCATGATGGATAGAGCTTCATCAGGAAAGTCCAACAGAAAGATCGAATCAATGTCAAGACTCAATGATGCGATAAAAACAATCTGCCTGGTGAGTTGAGATATCGGATCAATGACCAAGAGAAGCTGAAGTTGGCAGACAAATATACCCATCACGTCCACAAGGAGGAGTCTCCAAGTTAATGTAGTCATCTTCGCAATTGCCAGTGACTGAGCACGCGATTGAAATTCACAAAGAGATATCGCAGCGTCGCCGAGACAGGGTGATATCGGGTGCGGTAAGACCCAGGTGTGTCGCACAACAGATTACCGAAAGGCGAAAGCAGTAATAATATCAATCGGTGGGACTGGCTTGGAGCGCCAGGAACTGACTGTGATGCCCCTTATCCGGTTGCCTCTGCTGACTGCAATATGACACATTGTCTAGTCGATCCTTTCGACTGTCTATTATTCCAGCCACCGATCGGAATGGAGACGATCTTGACTAACTCATGGCATTCAAAACTTGACCAGTCGATTGGTACCAAAACCAAGAGATGCATTAGCCAAGTCAGGCTCAAGTAGTATATGAAGCGAGTTGTCCACATGGTTATCCACTTCAGGTGAGACTGAGCCCATCGAGAACAATATGATGCATATCTCCGAACAATACCTTCGGATTGAGGATCCCACGTGTAGCACAGCCATGCTACGCACAGTGATTTAGCATTGCCAGAATGCATATAAACAATGACAAGTCATTTTTAGTGGCGGAAAGCGTCAAGTTTTGCAGATTGAGCTCCAGTCAGAAGTGAATGTGGTACTTCGCCCCGGACAATTGACAGAACCTGTCGCCTCTCTCGAGGCTTGAGGAAGGATATCAAACAAACTCTGCATTAGGATCGTTCGCGCATCATTATATTAATCTTGTAATGACAGAGCTTGACTGAAAGAAATCTGTTCATATGCATGATTAGTGTGTCTGTTGTCATTGTGGAAGAAGACTCCTATCTGAGTGCCATAATTCCAAATCAGGCTGGTCTCATGGTCTTACTGCTAGAATGCCAGCAACAGTCCAGATGGATCTCTGAGCAGCCACACCACAATGAAATGGCGGCTATCCACATCATACTAAGGCATGCTCTGAGTCTGACTCATGCAAAGCAATCAGTCGTTGTTAGCTAAGAGAATCGACGTTGAGGGTCTGCATGGTCCTGATACGGCCACACATTACTGTTATTTTAGGGACTGTACCACGCAAGGTCTCTGACAGGGGCATTATACTTGAAGAAAAGCCAAAGAGTCCTTAAAACAAGTGTTGAATGCAATCTGCTCCTACAAGGATACAGACACAACAAACATGGCTTTAACATATCGGTAGTGATGCTGTGTAATAAGTCTCAAACAAACTGTCAAAGACATTTAACAACAAGCTTGGCCAAGGTCTCAGCTGTAGATCAGAGGAACATGGCTTTTCATGCGCATTGCTGCTATTTCAGTACAAAACAGGCATCCAGATAACATTCCTTCTCTGCCCACCTTCATCACGAACAAGAAATCATATTAGCGTGTGTGTGAAGCTGTCAAGTGTCAACACAATCTGGTCTGAAACCTCCATGCATGTCCTGAATTGGATATGCTGTTGCTGATCTCTTGGCTATTCATCGCTTGGTGTACAACAATAAGTATGGATGCCGAAAGAAGAACTCATCTAGTCAGCAACGACGAGTGAGACAAGCAACTTAGCAAGAAGATGGTCTGGAATTGATTTCAGGCACTATTGAGCGGAAATATTCTTCAATCTCCATACCGGAGGATGGACAGCTTGTCAGTACTTCGGCTGGACGGCTGTGACTTCCGGACTGATTCCGGTTGAAGACAGACACCAAGCCCACCAGGAGTTTCATTTCTCAACTCGACACATTCGATCATATTGGCAGTCTCAAGTGCAACAGCTCACTTCTCCGCAGTTGGATGACAACCATAGAGGTCATCAGATGAGTTCTCGTTGGGTTGGGCCGACCGTAACTTACACCTCTGCCAGACTCGGGGTGATACAACACGAGGCATGCAATGAGCATGCTGATTGATTGATGGAAATTACTGAAAAGCCTCACCTCCAGAAGAAGAAGAAGAAGAAGAAGAAGCTCAATACGGAAAAAATCCGGATGCGCATGACTCAGTGTTTATGGCGCCAAAGCCTGACGAAACCCCGTTTGGATCACTCCTGCAGAAGTTCCATTGATTTCAAACCATGGCTGAAAGCAATGACCCGGATTCTCGCGATAGAACTGACCGAATCTCGCTTGAGTACTCCGTACTGATTGCCAATGGACAATGCCAAACCCCACCTGGTGATCGTCCCTTTTAGACACGGCGATGTGATCCAGAGAGATGACACGGATGAACCACTCCCGCGGCCTGACGAGGTCGATATATTGAATTCAGTACGAGCGTGCATGCGGGCAAGCAATCAAGCAAGAATGAATGCGAGTGTATGGAGTAGTGTCTCGAAACTCACTGAAACCGTCTGAAGAAATTGGCCGGTACAAAGGAGCACCCAGCTGAATAATGATACTTGGCGCCAACCCTTCCCCGGAAAAAACTAATGCGTGGTATTTCGTGGCATTCGTGCAGGCTTCTCCGCATGCACTCGGTACTGATTGTGGACCCAATTAATATACAGTCATGCACTGCTTCTCCTAGCGCCGCCGTCAACGCCTTCGATGAAAGATGATGATGCCGCGCTCATGTTGCGCAATTACCCTTCTCCCTGAGATTGGTGGAACCTGTCAAATTGCCAGGAGTTGACCAGGGGCTGCACACATCGGGTGGATGGAAAATGTGATGGGATATGAAGATCGCCCCGTGTCTAAGGCTGGACATCGCTTGATGGCCCGTACTGAAGAATGACATCTGGGAAATATATGAGCCTCTGCAGACCTGCAGAATAGAAGATCGGCTCAGAACACCATTTCTCAGAGCGGTTCATAATGCTGTCGCAAGCTGTGCTTTTCCTGTCCTTTTCCCTCTGGGCTCGGGTCGCCAATGCGGCCTTTGGCATCACCACGAGTAGCAGCTCCTATGTCATCGATGCCAACTCCCCCAATCCACTGAAGTTTACGGTCAACCGGTCGAGCTGCGACATCACATCGATCAACTACTACGGCTCCGAGCTGCAGTATCAAAGCACAGGCAGCCACATTGGGTCAGGTCTTGGATCTGCAACCGTCTCTGCCACTCAAGATGGTGTGTACTCAGGTCCTGCCTGAGTATGACAGTATTGTACTGACTGCCGTAGGTGATTATATCAAGGTTACCTGCGTAACGGATACCTTGACGCAGTACTTCGTTGTCCACAACGGAGACCCCATCATTCATATGGCAACCTACATTACTGCGGGTTAGTTCTGACACTGACACTGTTCCATTTATTATCTAAGGCTGACCTTCCAGAACCATCTATTGGTGAGCTGCGGTTCATTGCCCGTCTCAACAACGACCTCCTCCCTAACGAGGAGCCATTTGGCGATGTCTCCAACACCTCTGGCGGGACCGCCATCGAGGGCTCTGATGTGGTAAGTTGGTCGCATCGGTATCATACCCGCGTGCTGACAGCTATAGTTCCTGGTCAATGGACAGACCCGCAGCAAGTTCTACTCCAGTCAGCGATTCATCGACGACCAGAGACACTGTAGGTAGCCTCCACTTTCCTGGAATCTGGGCTAACAGACAACAGGTGTCTCTGGAAGCGCTCATCGTGTCTGCATGATCCTGAACCAGTACGAATCATCTTCCGGCGGTCCTTTCCATCGGTAGGTTGTTCTGTCCCTGTATCCGAGCAGCCACTTATATCAACAGCGATATCAACTCCAACAACGGAGGCAGCTACAATGCCCTCTATTGGTACATGGTAGGTACTGATCTGTCTGGAATGGTACCAGTCACTAATGCCCCCAGAACTCCGGCCACGTTCAGACGGAATCCTACCGCATGGGTCTGCACGGCCCCTACTCCATGTACTTTAGTCGCAGCGGCACTCCCAGCACCAACATTGACACGTCTTTCTTTGCAAACCTTGGCATTCAGGGCTATGTCCCGGCCAGTGGCCGAGGCACGGTGACCGGGAAAGCATCGGGCGCTGATTCCGACTTTGACTGGGTTGTTCACTGGTAATTACCGAAGCCAACTGTCCAAACCAAATGTCCGAATATGCCGCTGATTATCCAGGTACAACGATGCGGCGCAGTACTGGACCTACACGGCCTCCGACGGCAGCTTCACCTCTCCCGCCATGAAGCCCGGAACCTATACTATGGTCTACTACCAAGGCGAGTACAAGGTTGCCTCTACCTCTGTCACCGTCACGGCCGGCTCGACGACCACCAAGAACATCTCTGGGTCGGTGACGACGGGCACGACCATCTTCAAGATCGGCGAATGGGACGGCCAGTAAGTACATGCATACCGAAGATACAGTCCGTACTGATGGTCTAGACCCACCGGTTTCCGCAACGCAGCAAACCAGCTGAGGATGCACCCGTCCGACTCGCGAATGGCCAGCTGGGGGCCGCTTACGTATACCGTGGGCAGCTCCGCGCTGACCGATTTCCCCATGGCCATCTTCAAATCGGTCAACAGCCCCGTCACGATCAAGTTCACGGCGACGTCCTCGCAGACCGGTGCCGCCACGCTGCGCATCGGCACGACCTTGTCTTTTGCGGGTGGTCGGCCCCAGGCCACGGTAGGCCGGCCCGGCTTGCTTCCACTGTCTCAAGCTAATTAGAACAGATCAACTCGTATACCGCAGCGACTCCCTCCGCGCCGACAAACCTCAACTCGCGCGGTGTCACCCGCGGTGCCTACAGGGGCTTGGGTGAGGTGTATGATGTTGCGATCCCTGCAGGCACGATCGTTGCGGGCACCAACACGGTAAGGGATCATATCGGGAGTCGAGCAACCGCGCTGACGGCTGCAGATTACCATCAGTGTTGCCTCCGGAAGCTCCGGAGACACGTTCCTCAGTCCCAACTTTGTGAGTACT